CTGTCCTATTAAAGCAGTGAACATCTTGACGTTAAATCTTTGTTCTTGATCACAGTTTTTTAGGACATATTACTAAAGTACTATTTTTTGGGTTAAAAATGTAGAGGCTCTTGATAAGCATTGCCAAATTGACTTCTATAAGTGTTGTATCTTTTTATATTTCAGCAGCAGTGCAGGAAAGTGCCCATTTCACCATCCTTTCTGCATTCTTGGATTTCATTACTTAAAGCAATTTTCTTCAGGAGTTTGATAACTTTTGTTGATTGCATGTCTTTTGTTGCAAGTAGATTATTTTACCTATTTTTTTTTGCCCACTCATCTTTCTTTAATGAATTGCTCATTCATATCTCTTATTTGTTGTGGGAGTGTTCATCTTTTTGTTATTGATTTATCATGTTTGTGCAGTAATGAAATTAACTCAGTGGAAAAGGGAGTGAGAGAGAAGTCAATAAATTATAGTGGAGCAGTGAGCAGCAAAAAACTTTGCTGTTATTTCTCTGCTCACACTCACAACACTTCTGATACCAATGTGTGAGTCTTCCAGACAATGTACTTCTTTATACGGTCTGGAGTTAGTGTAGGCCCCACAAGTTATGCGCTCAGTCCCACAAGACTGCCCCCCACTCAGAGGCCATAAGAAAGTAGTGGATCCCCAGGCTACCCACAACTTCTAACTTGGCCACAAATCAGAGGTTCCTATGACCGTCTCCTTGGGTTTGATAATCTGTTGGAGCAACTCACAGAGCCCAGGATCACAGTTTACTTACTATCGCCAATTTCTTACAAAGGTATTTTATTTTTTTAAAGATTTATTTATGTGAGAGAGAGTGAGTGACAGAGAGAGAGAAGAGTACATGAGCAGGGGAGAGGGAGAGGGAGAAGCAGACTCCCCACTGAGCAGGGAGCCCAATGCAGGGTTCAATCCCAGGACCCTCTTATCATGACCTGAGCCAAAGGCAGACACTTAACTGACTGAGCCACCCAGGCACCCCTACAAAGGACATTTTAAAGGGCACAGACAGAACACTAGATGAAGAGATATTTAGGGCAAAAATCTACAAGTTCCCAAGCTCAGGAGCTACTGTCCCTTTGGAGTTGGGGTGTGCCCCCATTCTGGTAAATTGCTATGTTTATTAACCTGGAAGCTCTCTGAACCCCATACTTTTGCAATTTTTATGGAGGCCTCATCGTAAAGGCATGATCAATTATTAACTGTTTTCAGCCGTTCTCACCTTCTTGGAGAATGGGCTTGGGCTAAAGTTCTTAACTTCTAATCATGGCTTGCTCTTTCTGGTGACCAGAGCCCACCCAGGAGCCACCGAGGAATCCACCAAATGTCACCTCATTAGAACAAAAGATGCTCCTAACATCCAGAAAATCCCAAGGGATTTAGGAGCTCTGTGTCCAACACTCTTATTAGGAAATTACAAGGGTTTTAGGAGCTCTGTGTCAGGAACTGGGGTGAAAGACCAATATAATAGCAGGCATTGAAGGGAGATTTTATATATTTATATTTCCTTTTATTTCACAAATGGCAGAATGTTGGTTGAATCATTTATTTCTTTGCAGAGCCTGAAATCAGCTATTGGACTCAGATCTGTGATTTTAGGGCCTCCTATGACATGGATACATACCACGTCTTTTCACAATATCTTGTGCACTCTTATTAAAATCTTGATATATTGAGGCTCAGAGATGACTCTGCTCATATTTTTTTTTTCTATTTAAGATAATCAACTTTTTTTCCCTCTCTCATTTGGATCTACCCATTTTTCAGATTAAGCAGGCTCAGAAGGACCTGTGGGCCCACTGTTTCCCACAGCTGTTGGACTGCTCTCCGGGGAAAAAGGACGCCTGGCTGGGTCTTCGTGTTGCACGCTTGTGGTTATTGTTCTGTCTCACTGCAGATAGAAGTGTGCATCTTTTCTGCTATTCTGAGGATAGTGGGAAAGCAGATAGCTTTCATACTGCCCATTCTGCAGGCTTCCTGCTTCTAGTGTGCTTAACAAAAATGCCAGTGGAGTAGTGGGCAAAGTAAAAAATGACAGGTTGCACTAATGCAAAAAATCATTTGGAGTGTTCAAACATGTGTGCATGAGGGACATGATGAGCTTGAATGACATGGTCATGTGCAAATGACTGAGAGGCAAAGGAAATACATTTGTTGTATTTTTGTAGAAAGAATTTGACTCAGACAGTTGTAAATTACACAATCTGGATGGAACCCGTCAAGGTGATAGAAAATTAGTTTCTCCTTTGTATCAGAATGAAGAGATCTATACTAGAAGACTCCGTAAAAAGTTCTCTATAATGTGGCATTTAAAATGGTTTTTGAAGAGCAAATTTTTTAAAACATTTTGCTGCCAGAAAATTAAGTTCTAAAAGCTGGCATTAATTTCAGTCTTATGTCAAGAGCCAAATGGATTAATAATGAAATATCAAAGGAAAGTACAATCTCTCACTTAAATGTTTTTAATGATAATAATGACTTAAGACTTGATAAGAAAGCTGAAAAAGAATATCATTCCCATCCTGTGGTTTTCATAATAAATGGAACTTTCCTGTGGAGAAAATAGTCTCCTTTAAGACAGGTTCAGAGTAGGGCATGTCAGGAAATGATTTCAACTTGATTAAAATTTTTCTTCATATATTCAGTCAGCTCCTTATCTTGATTTTTCAAGTAGAAAAATAAATGAGAATTTTAAGCCTTAGTAAAACATTATGGAAATGTGAAAATCAGTAAACATTAAAAAGCCAAACTGAAGACCTAAATCAGTAAGTGACAATTAAGAACCTTCTAGACTTGAGGCAAACAAATGTACTCAATGATCAGACCTAAATGTGCCCAGCTGAGGACTATCTTTGCTTTTTATACCTTTTTAAATGCAACTTTTCCAGGAATATAAATACTGATTCTGATTCACAAAGTATGTTTTACCTTTAATTACTTCTGAATTTGAAATAACTCTGAAGGACACTATGGTGTGTTTTGATACTGTTTTGTGTTTAAGACATCACAATTTACTTACACATTATGTTTTTATAACAGATTTTATATTGAGATAGCTGTATTCACACAAAGTCATTACTTAGTCCTTCTGAACCATATGAATAAAAGTTTATAGAATATAAAATGTATATTAGTATTAGCATAGTAAATATGTGCTATATCAATATTTTGATATGAGTATTTGATATTTCTTTCTCTCCAATACATTGGTTTTATTTGAGCTATAATTATTCTCTGGGAATATTTTCAGTATAAACATTTTTATAATGAGCAGGCTTAGGCTTGATTTTGACTTTGACACTGAAATGTATTTGCTTTGTATAGTAACATAGCTATTGCCCTGTATCTTTTCAAGTTGTTCTTATTTTGCATTCTTTATTATATAGTTTTCCTGTTTTTAACATATTAGTGATTTTATTTTTTTGAAACATACCTTGTCCCGATAACTATGAGGTTGTTTTTTGCAAAGATGGCACAAAGAACATCCTACCATAAAATGTTAATAGTGGATATTAGTAAATTAGAAACCTCACTTTATGAATCACATTATTATGGATTTGGGGATTTAAAAAAACATATCTTTTGCAGTAAAAAATTATCTTTTATTGATAAATGCTATGCTTCTAAAAATTATTTCATCTGGTTGCGATGTTAAATCCCCAAATTTGTAAAAAAAAATTATTTCATCATTATTATATTAATTTTTATTGTTACTAGAAAAATTTAAACATTTGTTGGGACACAGAAGAAAATTGAAGTCTACCCACATTGCTCTGTGATAGCCTCCTTGTGTGCAATTGAACATTCTTTAAAAGCACACTTTAAAGGATGCATTATAGTCTAGCCTAATTATGTACCATTAGATATTTAGCCATCTTTCAATTATAATTTGATAATTCCAGCTTGAGTGACTAGGTGGATGCTGGAGAAATATTCCATAATTGGAGAAAGAGGAGCGGGAACGTGTGGTAGGACTAGACGAGGCCTTTAGCTGTGATTTGAAGAGTTTGTGTCACCTAGCTGTTATGTGGTTGGAAATACTTTGAGTCCTTACCTATTTGGAGATGACCAGGGTAGAGATGTGAGTGGTTCCAGTCCTGGTCGTGGGTGGGACTGCTGAAGAGAAGTCCGGAGGCGGGCAGGCGGCCTCGTCCCCGGTGCCCAGTGTTGTAGTGGCAGAACACATCCTCTGACTGGTTCATCAGGCTGTACTTTCAGCTTCCTGTTTTTCCTCAAATTTTAAGGGGGCTGGACAGGATTTGGTGTGTCTTAAATATGTTCTGTTCTGAAACAGTCTTCTTATGCAGTGATGACTACAGTTATGAAATCAAAGCTTACAGACACCACTAATTAATGAAGCTGTATTGCTTGGAGAATATCCCCCAGCTGTCTGAGGCATACTACGGTGTTGAGGAAAGGTGTCCTCTGATGTTGTTTCTGTCTCATGGATGCTGAAGGTTAAAGCTCTCTAGTGGCTCTCTGAAAATGAATACCTGTTTCTGCTGGCTTTGTATCATCAGAACTTATTATTGTGAAGAAAATGATATACCATTAGTGAGCATTAAACTCCTAATGACATCAAAAATTCCTAATGAATAAAAGGACAAATGAGTTATATTTATTTATTTTGATTCCTGCTGTGACTGTTTTTCTCCTGTGGTTTAGGATATATGAACAGAACAACAACAAAAAAGTCCCAAACTCTAGGAGTCACATGTCTTCAGTTTTCAGCTGTATTTTTCCATTTCTCAGAATCTGCTTTGAGTTTGTTTCAATATTGAAACAAGTGCCACATAAAAATATTAACAGCTGGTTCCAGGAATCATCTGGAGGGGGTGCAGATGCACTGTTATCATGGATCTTGTTGCAGAACGTTGGTGGAAATACTGTGCCTGTTAGGATTAAAGACTGCTCATTAGCAGTCTTTAAAAATAGCTGTGAGAAGGGAACATTGGAATATAACGTGCCATGCAATTTTGTTTCCTATTAGAAAGCAGAAGATGAGGATATTGTTCTCACACCTGATGGCACCAGGGAATTTCTGACATTTGAAGTTCCACTTAACGATTCAGGATCAGCCGGTCTTGGTGTCAGCGTCAAAGGTAACCGGTCAAAAGAGAACCATGCGGATTTGGGAATCTTCGTCAAGTCCATTATTAATGGAGGAGCAGCATCTAAAGTAAGCAAATGTTACCCTTACTCGGCTTATGCCCATTAACAAAAATATATCATTACAACCCTATTCCTGTCTTGGGAACATATACACAGTGTGTGTGTGGGGGGGGTGGGGGGCTCCTTTCCTCCACCCTCTTATGGCCTATGAATTAAACTGGCGAAAGACACATGAACAGAACATGTTTACAGATTTTATTGATGTTAATATTTAAATTTTTCCATGTACAGGGGCTTTACAGAAAAGAAAATCTAAAGAAAACTCAGAAGCTTAGATACCATTTTAGCAAAAGGCAGTAAATTATGGAACAGTAATTGGACAAAAAATGACATTTGGGCTTCTCAGAGAGGTCAATTGTGGGATGGTAAATAGATGGCAGAAACTAGTGGTAGATAAGGTTTCTTGTGCATGGTCTGTTTTGTCGCCTGGCTAATCTCAGAGCTATCGCTGTCTCTGGTGATGTCCTTCTCTTCCTGGTTAAGGACAGGCAAGGGGCATCTTCATAAGAGGAGCTCTGTGTTCAGCCAGCAAGGCAGAGAACAGAGAGCTCCTCCGGCATCTGCCAGTTCTCAGTTGCCTTCAGCTCAAAAGAGTCCTTGTGCCAGAATGGCATGTTTTGGAGTGGCATGTTCTGATACCCTGTCACGCTTCCCCTGTAACGCCTTTTGTTTTCTTCATAATACCCCATTTGTGATCAAGCGAATAGAAATCTCCGTGATCTCTCATTTTAGGATGGAATCCATAGCTTCAAGTCCCCATTTTTTTGTCTCACAGAATTTACAAGCCATAGTCCTTGTAGTTCAAAGAAGATAATCCATGCAAAGACTTAGCTTAGGTTCCGGGCACAGAGCTGCCCTACAGGAAGGCTCATCTTTCCCTTGTCCCCTGCCTGTGGGTCACTTTGCCTGCTTGCCAGTGGAGAGCAAGTTTCCTCCCTGTTCGTCAAGGGGGCACTTCTCTGCAATTGTGTAACAGCCTTGAGCTTTTTCTTGTCTTGGGTTGTAAATAACCTCTATGGGTGTCTCTGGAAGCAAGAAAGTAATCACTTTGTGTCCTTTGAATTAGTATGCTGTTTTGGTAAACAGATTATGATAATGACTTGATTTACAAATGTATAAATGATTGAAATAGACACAGGCTGCAGTGGCTGCTTAGACATTATTGTGCTCCTGTTCAATTGGACACAGTCCATTAGGATTAAAGCCCCCTTTCTCTCCCCTTGTTTTTATTTTTTATTTTTTTTTTAACTAAAGAGAGAGCAACTTCTTTTATAACAGACTATTTAATAGCACTTACTTCTACCTGTTTTCTTCCCAGGATGGAAGGCTTCGGGTGAATGATCAACTGATAGCAGTGAATGGAGAATCCCTGTTGGGCAAGACAAACCAAGATGCCATGGAAACCCTCAGAAGGTCTATGTCTACTGAAGGGAACAAGCGAGGAATGATCCAGCTCATTGTTGCGAGGCGAATAAGCAAGTGCAATGAGGTAAAGTATAGGAAATAAAAAGACACTAGCATTTGAAATTGTAATAAGACTAAGTTTTTGTCCTAATGGATAAAGAATGGCAGGTCCTGGGACTTTCCTTCAAAATATTATAAAATTATCTTTGCTCTTTTTATTGTATTGACTGTGGACTGTGATTTGTTCTCTTACTTCTGCGATCAAAGTATTCCTAAGTGTGCATTAGTATTTCTATGGCCAGCTCAACAAATAACACTGGGAATCTTAAAAGCACCTTCAGCTGGGTTCTCTTCTTGCAAACAGGGCCATACCTTCCTGCTGGGAGCCAACAGTTTCTCTTCTGTTCAGTAGTGTTGTACCTGGGAGAGAGAAACAATGAAACAAGGGCTAGTTCATTTGTTTATCTAAAATGGGATGCCTGTTCCAAAGTTCCTGACAGGGGAGAATCTGTTTCTCTTGTGACATTGTCAAAAGTGTAAGTCTCCCCTTCTGTTCCCTGTGTCCCCTTTCTCCTTCACTATAGCGTTGAGTATTTTCCCCTTGATTGCATGCTTTTGAGAGAGAACTATTGCACAATGCCATGGCTGGTTCTAAATATACGCAGCAGTGCGTAATTAGGAATGAGTAGGAAGAGTATCCTTTCCTGAAGGGTGTGATCATCTGTTTCCCCAAATAGTAAAAAAAATAGTAAGTGGAAACATACTTTCTGGCACAGTGGGGTATTTGAAAATTTAAAAGGAATTATATATTGATTTGATAATATTGGAACTTGAAAAAAAACCAGGTTCATAGATCTATTATAAATTATGTGCCATCTATAGGAAATAGGTGGGAGCTGAGAATTTATAGAGCAAAGCTTGTTAAAAATGTAGAGTTTGTTTTTGCTTTTAATCAATGCTCAACTCCCCACATTTTTAAATCAACTAAAAGGAAATGACTAGGAAATCATACAAACTGAAAATTATATCTAAATTGTTTAAGTGTTTTTCTTAATTTAAAAATCTATGTTATATATCTAAAGCGAGCTATTCAGGTTGTGTTGATCACTCATGCCATCCCGTAGTACATTCATATTTTGTAATGAAGGTTGGGTAGTCAGTGTACAGGGGTGACCAACTTTGGGATGGTTATTGACTACTGACTTCTTTATTGTTTTTATTTTTCAAATGGAGAATTTGTTAACAATAATTAATGCATTAATTTCCACAACAACAAGAGAACAATGTAACCTTTAACTTCTCAGAATGGGGAACAGCGGGACATAAAAAAAATTCACTTTCGGGCACCTGGGTGGCTCAGTCGTTAAGCGTCTGCCTTCGGCTCAGGTCATGATCCCAGGTTCCTGGGATTGAGCCCCGCATGGGGCTCCCTGCTCCACGGGAAGCCTGCTTCTCCCTCTCCCACTCCCCCTCCTTGTGTTCCCTCTCTCGCTGTGTCTCTCCGTGTCAGATAAATAAATAAAATCTTTGGGAAAAAATTTACTTTCATAAGATAAATATAAATGCTAATCCTTCTGAGTAGGCTACTGGAATGGTTTTCTTGAATAATAGAGTTTTTATTTGTTGCCAAAAGTTAACTGACCTTTCTAATATAAGTCCTATAAATAGTGCTAGTTGAAAAATTCTCCAGAGTTCACAAGCACATTGTTCTTTATTAGGTCTTTTTCTAAAACTGAATAATTTCACATTCACAGGACAGTATTTGTTTGGCAGATGTTTACTGAGCACCTACTATATTCAAGAAATGTGTTAGATCCTTGGGATATGGCAGTGACTAAAAACAGATGGGGCTCCTTCTCTCACAGAACTTATATTCTACTGGAGAATATATCATATTCTCAGTCTCTTTAAAAATAAATTAAAATTTGTAAACACCTCAAAATTTTCTTTCACAGAAAAGCATTGGATGTTCTGGGGGCACTTAAAACATTAAGAAATGTACTAAAGACCAGCATCCTGAATCCAGACATGCTTTCCTCTGATTCAGATGAGTCCCTGTCATTCCCCAAACAGTAGCAAAGCAAACCTGTACCAGCCTGAAAATGTTTTGATAAAAGCACTGATTTTATTCCCTGTTGTCCTGTAAAACACACGAAATTGAAATCCCACTGAAAGATCTCTGGGTCTCATTTACTTCTGCATATGAATTTATGTGAATGAAATGATTTAAGTAAGGGAACAGCTGCAATAGATAGTAATAGACTTTAATATTCAATATTCCTTATGGTATCATTTTCATACATTGCTGGTTATTACTATTTCTTAGGAGAGTATAAGCTTATAAAACAATTATATTAAAAAAAAAAAATCTTATCACGAGTGCTGTGCTTTCTTTGTAATACTACCGAGAAGCCTTTTGTACTGACAGGGTTTAACTGAAGAATTATATGAAGACGGAAGAGCTCAGTTTGGCTTCCCATAAGGCATGAGACATGATTTTGCTGCTGTTGTACTTATATGTTACCTTTGGAAAAACACCTCCCTGAATTATGAGAGTATGTGTAAATTATGTTACAGTAAATATTGATAGAAGCATACGGTGTCTTGTCTTGAATGAACCTCAAGCCAAAATAATGTGCTTGCGTTCCCTCCTTGTGGGTCTATTAGTCAGCCAGAGGCCGGTCTTGGACAGTATCACAAAACTGTATTTTACTAACTTATCTTTAAATCAAGGGTTTGCATACCTAATTTCAAGCCAGAGGAGATGAAAATTTGCAGAAAGAAAACCGTTTGTACTTTGTCACATCTTTCCGTGCCCTTTTCTTGTACGTAGGAAGTGCCATGTATTTTTTTTTTTCCAAAAACTATTTGTCAACTCTCCACAGTAGGTATCGTCCCTTTACCCTGCATTTCACGCTACAGCACATTTGGGGCGTTCTCCGGAAGATGTTGCTCAGTCTCTTCTGCTTGGCCTTTCAGGAATCTAGGAACGCCACCAATCTTGAACCTCTTCTTACCTGCTCTCCTCCTTTTTCTGCTACCTCACTCTGGCGCTTCTCCCTCCTTTGAGGTTCCTTTATTTCCGCCTGCCCTGTCACCGTCGGCGTGTCTCGGCGCTCTCCCCGGGCCGGCTCCTCCCCCCGGGCCGGCTCCTCCCCCCGGGCCGGCTCCTCCCCCCGGGCCGGCTCCTCCCCCCGGGCCGGCTCCTCCCCCCGGGCCGGCTCCTCCCCCCGGGCCGGCTCCTCCCCCCGGGCCGGCTCCACGCCGCGCATGCTCCCTGGGAGATCTTCAGGTACCGCCCGTGTTACGGCCGGTCGCACAACCCCGTTTCCAGCTCGGAGTTCTGTTCTAGGTCCAGACACTTACTGGTTTGTCGCTCAGGCTCCCAAGTCACAAGGTGCCCGAGGCTTTATACTTTTACTTCAAAATCGGTTCCTCCCTGAGTACTTCATCCACCCTGGTCTTGCCCCATCCCCCCCCAACCCCTACCGCTACTCCGTGGTTGTAGAAGCTGGAGACGGACTCTGGACCTTTCAAATGCCTTCCCTGTTTCAGTAACCTCTGCCTCCAGACTCTGTCTCTCCTCGAGCCACCTTTCTCCAGCCCCGCTGCTGTCGCCCCACCTCAGGCCCCATTGTCCCACGGGGCTCGCTGCTGCAGTCCGTTCTCCACACTGCAGGCAGGCAGGTTTTTCCACAGAACGCATTGCTCCTGTCACTCCCGGCTGAAATCCCTTCAGGAGGTTTCCATCCCCTCCAGGACAGGTGCCAGTCTCCATCCCATGGCCCCCCGGGACATGCAGAAACCGGCGTCTGTGCCCCTCCAGTGCGTCCCTGTGCGGCGGGCGTGGGCTCCTCGGCACGGCTTGCAATTTCTCAGGCACTCGGTTCTGTCTCGCCCGGGTTTGCCCCATGAGCCCTCTCTGCTCCTTGTCCTCACAAGGACAGCTTTTAGATTTTAGTTTCTCTCACCAGAGTATTCCGTAGTCGGAGTACTTACCTTCATCTAGCAGCAATTACCCTGTCATGTTTCCTTTCGGGTTTTCTTTCGTAGGAACTGTAAATTCTGAGATGGCTGGGACCTTGTCCATCTGCCATGTCCCTACTTCTCCATCTCTTGATGTCCAACCCAGAGCTAACACCTAAGCACGAACGGAATGACAAGGGAAACAATCCTGGGGAGGCTGGCGTTTTTAGAAGAAAAGATAACTTAGTTATATTAGAAACTGAAGTTCTAAAAAAAAAAAACAACACACACACACACACACACACAAACCAGGCATGGTAACCAAATTAATATTTTGGCAGGGATTCTAGATTTCCTTTGCTTTCCTTACATTTAATGTTCTTAAGTACATTTAAAAACTTCTCATCAACAATAATTGTTTCTTTAGAAGAAAAAAAAAAAGAAATGGCTTCCCCTTGTTTCCTGATTGATGGATTAACTTTTTTGGAGAAAAGCTTCTTCTTCCTTTTTTTTTTTAAGATTTTTATTTATTCATCAGAGAGAGAGAGAGAAGCAGAGGCAGAGGGAGAAACAGGCTCCCCGTTGAGCAGAGAGCCCAGTGCGGGACTCGATCCCAGGACCCTGGGATCATGACCTGAGCCAAAGGCAGATGCTTAACCATCTGAGCCACTCAGACGCCCATTGGAGGAAAAACTTCTTAAATCTTTTCCATTGGATAGAATACATAAAGCAAGAGGCAGAAACGTTGGTTATCATCACAAAGGACACATTTGTTGAGGACTTTGAAGGATAGTAGAGGGAAACGGGAGTAAATACTTGACATCGTTCTTTGAGGATTGAAAATAACCTGTGTTTGACAATTATGCTGATTGTGGATGTTCCAAGGAAATTAATGTTTGTAGAAATTACTGCGGTTTAACATAGCTTGCGGTCATCTAATTGTATCTGTGTTAGAAATTATTTCATATGAAGCCTCGTCTTAGTACCAGTAGAGAATGTGACCAGGTGAGCCTTGTCTTAGACCCCATACTGAAGGATGTAGTCAGCAGGGACTACTTTAAAATGAGTTCTCTCTGTAGGTTTAATCCTCTTAGAATTAGAAAGCTATATTAGAATAGGAAGGGGCCTAAGGTATCATTTATGATTCTCTTCACTTCATGTATTAAGAAATAAATGCAGAGAGGTCAAATGATTTGCTTAATGGCTGCAAGGCCAAGGTAGTGGCAAAGTAATTTAGAAACAGGTGCCCATTCCTCTTACACAATGTGAGTGGGCCTTAATTGACTGTGATTGTGTTGTTCAGGCAATTTGTATTCTGGTTGTGTTAGGAAGTAGCATACAATAAAAGCATGGGTTTTAGCATCAGACAGTTACATTTTGGGTCTGCCACTTACAGATAGAATGACTTGGGGAGGTTCCAGTACCTCTCTGATCTTTGCTGTAGCCCACGGTGGGTGGGGGGTGGGTGGGGGGGTATGGAAAGGAGATGAAGTGTTGTTCTACATGACAACAGAACCTGAAACTGGACCTTAAAGCTACGACCACTCTTCTCCAAGACTCAAGCCTGTCTTTTTATTCATTGTTTTGTGTTTACCTGTCCTTTGGATGTTAGTACTTTCCACAATATATCATTGTAATCTAGGCCACATACTGTGCTGTGCCCTCAGCTTTAGACCTGCTTCCACGTGGCCTAGTGTGTATAAGATCTCCAAACCATTTTGAGGAAAATCTGAGTTATTCACTTGGAAATTAATTTATTCATCCATTTATTCACCTAGTATCTGCTCTGTGCCAGGCATTGGGGATAAAATAGAATAAGCCCAAAAATCCTGAAATGTCGAATAATAAGATTGTGCCCTTTACTAACTGGAACCCAGTCTTTAATTTGCTGCCCAGATCAGGGCCTTATCTATGCCAGGTTTTCAATGCTTATGGTCGAGATGGTGGGATACAATTTCTCTGTGTGAAAGACATCATTTGACCCACTCATGCTTACCTACAATGACATGAGAATTTGCTAAACCCTGCAGAAAAGATATTAGTTTTTTAAAAGAAGCCAAGATTTTAGCTTTTCCTAAGAAAAGTAGTCCAAGTATATAATGGAAAGCATATTCATTGGACAATATCCAATTTTTGTTGTTATATATCATTTGTTATTTTCTGATTATAAAAGCAACATATCATTTGAATATCTTTTCTAAGTGTGGACTACATTTACATTGTTTTTCAGTATTGGGGTAATTCCCAATTTTATACCTTTGTAAATAATGTTATGATAAATATTGATTCACATGTATCTTTATTATTTGTGTAGCTTATTATTTTGTGAGGGCAGTGACCACAAAGTGAAATAAATGGCCGGGTCAAGGAGTATAAGATGTTTTTGGACCTGTGATATACATTTCTGTATTACTTTAGAAAAGACTGTATCCCTTTACACTGCTACCCAATAGGAGTTATCTTGCTGCAACCGAGAGCTAAGTTTTCTCTAATAGGTGAAAAGGCTTTCCTATTTTTCCAGAGGTGGAGCTGAGGGGGCTGAGCACAACTACTCCTACCTGGAACTGAATAAGTTAGATTGAAGAACATTTTTGCACCTTAAACAACAAGCCACAAAGTGAAAATTGTAGTTCTTTTATTTTAGTTTCTTCTAATTAAGTTTAATTTGAAGAAGGTTTTTATGTAAGGAGACTTACAGGGCCTGGGACTAACCTAGGTTGCAGACCACCCTGGGCCTCTCTTCTACCCCCTTGCTCTGACTCTCCCCTGTGCCGCCGTAGTACCCCCGTGGTGTGTTTCTCCTTCCTAAACTCCTTTTCTTGCAACGACAACAAAAAAATCATCAAAAGATTTAAAACAAAACTGTGTACCCCATCAGGTTTTTTTTTTTTTAAAAGAAATTAAAAGGCATTGTATCTTCTGTTAAATATTTATGTAGTAGGCTGCTGATGTCTTCATTTAAATCTGTCTTTTGAGATGTAAATTAGACATGGTTAGGGAGGTAGAGGAGGTGTAGACTCTTTCCCATGAAAATGTTCAATTGTGAGGTTCTTTCTGAACAGGCACCTTACTGTTTTTTGTTTTTTTTTTTTTTTTCTCTAGAAAGCCTGCATTGCTTTTTTAAAATGGAATTTTTATTTGATTTTCTAAAATTCTAAAATAGCCTTTTAGATTATTTAGGGATTTCTCATGAATAGCTTTGTAAGGATTTTATCATCTAGAAAATTTCAGTTATCTAGTTCAATTAAATGTATCTGTTAAGCAAATGTGAGGATACGTTGTTTGTCTTAGAAAGTAAATTGTACAGCAAGCAGGTCTCATATAGAGATTTGGATCGCAAGTCTCTTCAGTGTATGTGCTCATTTAAAATTTTCAGACATACTTGTTCTTAAAGGCATAGGGTATTGCTTTAGTTTGTTTTTGTTTTTACCTCCCCAAAGTACTTTGGAATTGAGGCATAGTATTCTTTCAGAAAATGTTTTTATTTTTTTACATCAGAGACCTTGAATATTTAATTTACTTTTCTGTGAAGCTGTCAGTTGTAATCTGCAGTTAAAAAAAACAACTAATAAAACAAATCCTCATTTCACAATTTAAACCTTATTGAGTCTAATTCACTAGCGCTGCGAGTTTATTATTCTCCTGCAGTTTGACGTGCCTCCAATTGTAATTGTGTTGACCCTTCAATGCATTAAATCTCCCCAGTGCTTATCAAACTGGGAGAGATAAGTCTACAATTTGGAACTTCATTAAATATCTCATTTATATTAAACAGATGATAGCTTCTAACAGAAATAATAATTTGTTCCGATGAAGGAACTGCAACCGTTGTGGTTTCCTCTGTTTGGGATGTGTGGTCCTCTCTCTCACTTGGTGGTACTGTGCTGTACCCCTCTCCCCACCTCCCCCCAAGCCCTCTTTGTCTCTGGCTGCAAGCCAGCACCAGAGCGTCATAAGATATTAGTCCATGGGGTTAACCTCAGAGCCCACGTTTGGAGGATTGCTGTTAAGTGTGCTTTGTTCCCTCCTTGAAGCAGATTTGTTTCAAGACCTTATGAACATAGGTTCCTTATTCATATTATTTTTGTGCAGAATCTGACTTATGAGGCACAGCTGTTTGAAAGAATGCCACATACTGTTTTAATTCATGGTGATGGAAATTGACCTGTATTCTTTGCTTATTTATTAGATCATATATGTTTGTGACATATACATCTTTGCTTCATTAGAATATTTGGTCCCTACTTCTGTATTGTTTATGTACTATTAAAGTGGTTTTTTTCAGGTACCTCCCTATCTTATATTTAAGATTATAGTAAGAGAATAGAATGATTTCTTAACTAATTTCTAGCAGAAGAAATGTAGGCTCAGTGAATTGTTCGAGACACCTGAGCTCACAAGTAAAGATCTTTTAGAGTAGGTAGTAATTCTACCAGCACACATGGAGATGAGTGCTAATTGTTAGGTGTATTTACCTATTATAGATATAAAAAGTATAGCTTAGTTCCAGCTTCCATTCTGATAAAGCACACTTTGTGCAGAGCAACATCTCATAAAGAATTCTGAATTAAAGCATAACTTAAATTGACTTCAACAGATACTAACAGTCAAATTGAAAAAATAAGCAGCAAAATAAGTTTAAAAAAAAAAGCTTTTAATATACATATTTTTCCTCCAATGGTTGCAATCTGACAGAACTTCATGGGAGGCACAGTGTAAAGTGGCAGAGAAAGTTGGTCATTAGGCAGAGCTGTCATCACAAATTATTTTGGTACAGGGTGAAAAGTTCTAGTTCATTTGGTACCCAGTTGGATGCAGGCCTTGGGCAAGTTGTTATAATTCCCCCATGCTGCTAATGGGCCTCCAGTACTGATTTTCCCTTGCCCCCTTTTCTCTGTAGCTGAAGTCACCTGGGAGCCCCTCTGGACCTGAGCTGCCCATTGAAACAGTATTGGATGATCGAGAACGAAGAATCTCCCATTCCCTCTACAGTGGGATTGAGGGGCTTGATGAATCCCCCACGAGAAATGCTGCCCTCAGCAGGATAATGGGTGAGTCAGGTAAAACTCTGTTTATCACATCTTATTTTTATGCTTTCCTGGTTCACTGGGAGGTTATTAATGTAATATTAATGTAAGGGAGGCCTGTGTTTTCAAGAGGAAAAAGAGCAGGTTCATTACAATCATCCAGGAAGTGTTAATAATGAAGAGACTGAATCAATACATTGATTTTGTTAAGTGAATTTTAGATCCTATAACATGTTGGGGGGGGTAGAAAAGGAAGGGGTCACATGGAAATATGTTCAGCGATCAAGATATATTTAGCTTGTTTGAGAGTAGAAGTGAAGCCATGTTTTAGGAAAGTCAGAATTTAGTGGTTTATGATGAGGAGGATTCAAAGTCACGTATCTTTCACGGCAGCACCTTTTTTACAGGGAGAGGAACAGATGCAGCTGTACATGTTCGTATGTAGATGAAATATTCACATTTATTTGGCTTGTATTTAATAGAATGTTACCGTTTTTAAGTTGCATCTCTACTTTTTCAAAGCCCTGATTTTAAAGTCCGGAAGCTAGTGTTTTGCATCCTTTGTTTGGATTCGGCACCATACTGTCTGCTCAGCCCCCAGTGGGTACTGAGGTTATTAACACTTGCTCGGCAGAAGTGCAGCTTTCTCCTAACAGATCCAGTTAATAAAGACTTGCTTTGCCACAGGAATGGGTGGATTTACTGAGTTGCTCATCTTGGGATTAACTTGCGAGAGTTTTCAAATTTAAAACATAAGCAGCTGTTTCGATTAAAATAGCACCTGACATAAAACAGTTTTATTGCTGGTGTGTTTTGCAAGGCTCGAAAATAAAACCCTAAATTTAACGCCATTTTGAAACCTTTAATGAAGATTTAATACAATTCAAGTTTCCATTATGAAGCTTCTTTGGAACAAGAATTTATTTCATTCGCCAGTGGACATTTATGGAAAGCCTACCATTGACAAGACGTTTGTGTACACACTTTTGCTGTAGATACAAAAATGAGTGAGACACAATCTCTGCCTACAGGGAACTCTCTCCTGGGCATGACAGGAAAAACACATAAACATGACTAGTAGAATTTTCTGGTCTTCCTTTGGTCCTTCTAGCTTTCTAGTTCGGAGAAGATGCTAAATTCTCAATTCCTTATTTTGTTGCACATAGGACTTAGACCTGCCAGCCCTCTGGTTTTACTTTGTCAGTGGTTTTCTTTTTTGCCTGCTTGGCATAAATGGAAGTAGGGGAAGGATGCTAAAACCACTGTGCACCTGTCAGATGCCACACAGTGCACAGAGATCACCACACTAATCTTTGCTTCTTAATGATCATTCTCTTCACTGCCGTTGCATTTTCCATACTTTCTTGGTTTTGGTGTAAAACTTTATCTTTGTTAAATACTTTTTTCATTAATGAAAATTCAGACCCCTTGAGAGAGAAAGAGCGTGCATGTGTCCCTGGATCTGTGTGCATACAAAGTGATATGCTGTAATTTCCCCTTTATTATAGGAACATAGGACTTGCCATACTGAATCAGACCATTGGTCCACCAGTTCCTGTAACCTGCGTCCTGCCTCCAATCCCTGATGCTTCAGAGGAAGGCTGAAAAACTAAATCTAAAAAACCAAAAAACCCCAAAATTCACCTAGTGACCTTTTGAAGTGCTGTATATAATGGGTTGAGGACTCCTTCATTTTCTTCATAGTCTGTTACCCTGATTTTGTTAGCTGTGGCTTCGTTAGTCCACTTCCATTTGCATTACTGTTGTTTTCCCTTCCCTCCTCTAGCGATGTGATGGACTTTTAAGGCTCCAGATGCTTTCCCCTGGGCAGCAGCTTCCCTCCCAGCTGTGTGCTTTGTGATGTACTGTGCATGCCCTTTTGGGTTGGGGGTGAAAGACTCTTTACCCTTTTTTGGTAGGCCAAGTTAATGTTGAACGATTTGGGTATTTTCTTAACATAGTTTTTTACATATTCTACTGGAAACTAGGGATCCTTTATAGTTTTACCCTGAGAATTGCATATGCTTAACCTGATCTGTCTTGAGTTTTACAAATTTGAGAACTCAGTCTTCATCAGTCCGTATTCCATTATCAGTGGCCCTAAGAAACAAATGGTTTGCTAGGTCAGTTCCCACGTAAAGTTAGAAATTCTGCAAAGGATGTTAGCTTAAAACAAAATACAGGGTACCAAATATAAGATAGTAGAGCACTGAATTTCTGTTAACCTAAATCAGTAGCACTAGTATTTATTGATTTGCACAGTATCTAGGTACATTGAAATCTCTCAGGTAGATCTTGTTTGGTTGCTGATTGTCTTCTATATATTTAGAATAACCCTTACGTAGACACTAGTGGAGGTGATGGTATTTACTTTATGATCTGCTCTGATTCAAATAGAGCTTTGTATTGAAATTACAGTTGATTACTTTAAGAAATGACTAGTTGTATGCAAACAGGATGAATTTTCACCTAGAAAAACCCTCATGTGAGACTCTAGACCAAAAGGAGCTTTGAGGCTTTCTAGCTCATTTCTATGGGAACATATCTCAGGAGAGAAGCTTCTAAAAGAATAAATCAAAAAAGGAAGAGATGTAAGACTTGGCAGGATGTCAGGGGTCATTAGCCGCACTCTCCCACTCGACAGATAAAGGAACATTGTCACAAGATCCCATGGTGATTTTTTGTTTTATGTTGTTTTTGGATATTTCTTGTTTCTAAAAGTAGCCCTCTCTAGGGCATAGTGAGACCACACAATAAGGATTAGTGACGTCCATTCTTTATTAAGATCAGTTTATCCATATCTTTAAGCAAAAGGCATTAGACAGTCAACAGAATTTGTTCCGTTGTGGCGGCCACTGTGTTCTAAAAATCAAAAAAGCTCATCTCTGAAAACAGTCTTAGAAATCATCTACTCCAGCTGAATTATCTTCTGTTCAGAGAAGTTAGGGACCAGAGAAATTCCAGTGACAAGTCCGGAAGCCACATTCTGTGTTCCTCGACCAGTTAGGATGTGTATTTTCCCGAGTCATGAGTCCCACATTACTTCAACCTGGATCGATATCCCTAGTTTTTGGTCGGGTCATCCAGAGTTGTGACCAAGACAAGATTTCTCCAGATGTCTTCTGTATGGGTCTACCTGCCACTAATCATGGATTTTAATCCTGGATATTCATCAAAAAGAAATCTCTAGAGAGCCTACCTAGGATGCTTCATGTTAAAAGACTTAAAAAAAATATCTTCTAAATTGCTGGACTGTCTTAACTATAATAATCATAAAACAATAATAGGCATGGTTAATTTAACCAACACGTTCACTGAAATACATCACAAGTTGACATTTGGGAACATGAAACCTTAATTTTTTTTTTTCCAAATTTTAATCTGAAGAAATTTTCTGTTTAAAGCAAGACCAAAATCTGGTGTACTCGTTTTAGAGATTAACCTCAGTAGTTTTTATATTCATGCATTTGTGGTGAGTTTAAAAAATAATTATGCTCAGCATATTTTTATCTTGTTAGAAATTCAACATTGAGAAATGGAACATTAATGTCATTTTTATTGTGAGTCAAATCACTGGAAAAGTTTTCATCTGTTTCTAGTGTCATGAATGGTATTGCCTTTTATGTAAATGTACCAATGAATAAATGTTTAGTAAACAATCATTTCGTATCTCATTGTTTCACTCTTCTGTAAGATACTGACTGGTTTAAATTTTAGTTTGTAGTTTGTCGGTTAACTAGTTGAAGAAGGAGAAATATTTATCCATCAAAAAACCGATCAAAGGCTTCTCAGGTCACCCTTGGAAGGTTTCACGTATGTGATGTACCAGGTTATCATTAAGAGGTATTGTCTAGGTGGAGTTTGGTAGAACATGGAGTGAGATAATTTAGTTGTCCATTGTTCCCAATATATTCCTGCATCCAGATTCAAAAACTGTAATTCTTGGCGAGTATGTCAAGAAGTTGGGAAGCTGATGAAAAACGTGAATTCTCAAATCTTTTGAAATATTAGCCCCTAGAATCATTTGTGAGAGGAAAAAGCTAAATTGTTTTCTTATTATTAGGAAAATTTCTTAGCATTTATGTATAAAATTTTGGATCACTTAAGGTACAATATTTCTATTCAACACAGCATATTATAAAAAAAGGATTGTCATATGAAGAACCATTCAGTGTTCCATATTGCTTATTAGGCTGTCTCTCAGAATATATTGTGTAAACCCAAGAGTTTTAGTTTTTGTGTTTAAAAGCGAGTACACAATAATTATATTGTAATTTTTCCTTCCAGTAAATTTTGCCTTTGTGAGGACTTGGCATTTAATGCTATGACACGTGCCTTGTCAGTGGTGAGCTGTCAGGGATAACTCTGGTTTTGTCATTCTGTACACTTTTTGGGCAAAAAAGTATGTCTTGAGAAGGAAATACTTCTTTTGGTGATAGTGCTAGGATGTCCAACCTTATTTATGAATGGTAATTTTTTAGATTTCTGTCTTTCTCTACTGAAGTCCTAAACTCAAGTAGTAGTAAATAAATAATTTGAATTCAGGAGAGGGAAACAATTAAGTTAAATTTGATTTGCTTTATAATCATGAGCATTTATAAAAAGTTTCTAGTTTTCACAGTTTATCAAAATGAATGCATTTCAAATCAAAATAGAGTGTTTTTCTTGATAAAATCTGTGTTAATGTTTCAGTGAACATACAGTATTTCTATAATAAAGTAGTTGGTGCTAAATAATCAACGCATTTGAAACGTCTAGCATGTCTTCTTTTGTGGGTTGTCCTGAGAGGATACGGATCAACTTAATTTTTGTCCCTTTGTTGAGTGTCTAGAATAATATGTATTTTAAAAATCCTTCAAGCCTATATATGCCATCCCATAATTGCCAGAATCATGTTAAAACAAAAAGTCCTCACTTGCACATTCTTATGAATGTTTATTTTAAAAATTAGATCTTAAGCCTGATGTTAAAATGTTAAAATCTCTCCACATGTTGCTGTGGTGCTATTTTAAAAAGTGGTTTATAATAAAGGGAAAGAGCACCCTGTGTAAAGTGTAAAATGGTGCTAGGATGGGGAAAGGACAGCGATCCGTTTTATTTGGGTTGGAGCCAGTAGAGCTGGCTTACCAGATTTGAATGTTGGACTTAAAATGAGACTTCTCCCATCCCACTGCAAGGTGATGGGGAAATTGTCAATTCTTGCTCTGTTGGGAGAGCCAGCAGGGGGCCTCCTTCATACCCTGATGTGTGTTTCTGTGAGTATGGACTCTCTTGATGTATCCACTTGGACCAAAGCCTTGTCCAGTGAGGTCTTACTCAGAAGTATAGCACAAGATTTGAGGAGGAAGCCAGAAGAAGTATGGATGTTTTTGGGAGGAAGGTGGCATCATTTGGACCGCAGCTTTACCTTTAAGGGTTCAGGGCTTAAATCGTAATTTTGTCCCAAGAAATATAAACGTCTGTCATGCTGATCCATGCACCTGAGCAGATTTCCCCAAAAGAAACTCGTCAGTATAGACAGTTGTGAGTCTTTCCTTACCAAGAACATTATATCCGAATGGAATAAATAAAAATGTGCAGACCCCACTGTCTTAGCCTGAAAATCTCTGGACAGTTAGATCCTATCTTTTTAAGATCACTCCTACCATCTCCCCATGAGGCCTCGATTCTGCATGTACTCATCTTTGAAGTGTCACCTGAATGTACTGGGAGCGTTTCTCCATCATGAATTTAATGATGTTGTTGCCATTGTGTAAAACCAATGTCATCATTTCTCCTAGCAGAAAAGATCATATTCATCATTCAAAGCCCAACTATGAGGTTAACTTTGGTGAGGATCCCTGGTGTCCTCTGCCTCCAGCCACCCAGGTGAAGGCCACAGTCTTTTTAGCATGTCCTTCACACCATCAGTCAATTATCAGTGTTTGTATGTCTCTCTGTTTCTCTAGGGTGTGAGCTGTTTGGGGGCAGAGATTTAAGTCTTTCTTACATCCTTGCTATGCGGTATATGCCCAGCAAATGAGTATGTGAATGATTGATATAAGTCTGCAGGGCTTCCCTATAAATTTCCTGGTAAAATTTTCCAAAGGACTTTCACAACTTAGAATCTGTGTAGCATTTTCACTTTATAAGATGTTCAGGAGATCATCTGTGGCTTTAGGAAACCTGAATCCAGTGAAATTGAACACTGTGCTGAGAGCTACAGAGCCGTCGAGTCAGAGAAGGGAACAGACTCAAGGCCTCCACCGGCCATTTATTTGTGAAAAAATAAATTTCCTTCATTCTATTTTGTTCCACCAGGTTGAGCAGATGTTTGGAAATTTAGACTTTTTCTAATGTTGTAATGTATTGCCATTCGTACGCATAGCCCTTAGATCGATATCTAGAATTTCTCTTCCTTTTTTTTCCCACCGGCCAGGTAAATACCAGCTGTCCCCCACGGTGAACATGCCCCAAGATGACACTGTCATTATAGAAGATGACAGGCTGCCGGTGCTCCCTCCACATCTCTCTGACCAGTCATCTTCCAGCTCCCACGATGATGTGGGCTTCGTGACAACGGATGCTGGCACATGGGCAAAGTCTGCAATCAGTGATTCAGCAGACTGGTAAGATCGCACTCCAGGCTTGGGAACCATTACTTAATTGCAATCACCTTCATTTTATGCTGAAATGGTCTATCATTAAGCACAGTTAATCAGTTTTGTTTTATGGCCGTGTTCTGTTTTCATGGTCTTAATACTCTTAATTATCACTCTTTTAATAAAAGATTCCCCTCCACCCCATAAACTTGCCCCGTTGTTTTAGCGTGTCCAGGGCTGTACTTATTAACTAAGCCAAGTCTACAACAGAACTACCACTCACCAAAAAAGACCTACTCATTTGTGAAGTTCCGCTGTTGGTTATTTTAGATCTGTTTTAATTTGATGAATTGTTCTTTTTATTAAATCAGTTCTAAGCAAATCTCTGAGGTGACTGAAAGTTTGTAACAATTAGATGACTTTGGTCAAATTAATAGGTGCTATGCTCTGGGAGTGGGAGGAGGCTTTTTAAAGGTTTGCTTGGTTTTTTTTTTAGAGTGCTGTAACCCTGCCATTTTAAGTGCTTCCCGCTTGCTTCTAACATTGTGACTTTTGAGGCAGCCTAATGCTGTTTCTTTCTCCAGAATCTTCCAAAACAGAAGAAAGCATTTGATATTATTGAGCCAATGCGTGGTCCATGGGTGTGGATGTGTGCCTTAATTTGCATGCCTTGTAATTATGCACATCCATAAGCCAAAAGGCAAGTCCCTCCCAGGGATGACCTTGTGAGGTTGTAGTGATAATTAACATAAGCCACGTGAAGCATTATATCAGAATTTTCTTATTGCCCTTTCTCTGGGGGTGTTCCATGAATACATCAACAAAATGGTATTTAAATGTTACAGCACTGTTCCTTCACCACCTACCCATTTCTCTTTTCTACTCTTACCCAGACTTGTGTCAAAAATTGGTATTAGACCAGAGGAGTCTGGAGGCCCATCATTGATTTGTGTTAACATTTTAGTGGTGATCTTAGCAAAGTCGCCCTCTCCCCAACCCTCCTCCCCAGCTCCTTACAAAACCACACAAACATCTAGCACTGTACCTGGGAATTCTGCAGATCTCTTGGAATAGTCTCACCTGTTAATCTGGATCCTTGAAAAGTCTGTCTCTGTCTTGTCTTTCTTTCTTTTTTAAAAAAATTCTTACTGAAACCACAGGATTTAAAAAAGAGCTACACTCCAGCCTGCATGATAATAGCATATCTGTGAATGAGGTTTTTGGCTCAACATAGAAGGGGAAACTATAATATAAAGTAAAATCCCATTTGAAATCCGCAGATGCTGCTCCATTCACTGCTGCAGTTTGTGTCTCTCTGAGTGAAAGCAACAACAGGGAAAGTAAGGATTAGATATTGGCAGTATTCAACTTTGGGACAAAAGCCATTGAATCTCCACCCTGATGAGGATTGTGAGGGTGGCCATGGGAATAGATCTGTTTGGGGCCTTCTGAAGCACTGTATTGGTGAAAATAAATAAGTAGCTAGCAGGAATAGATTGTGGCATTAATTTCCCTAAGGGCATTGATAAAATGGCGAGGACTTGCGTGATTTTGCCATGGGGAATGTGGAGCAAGGAAAAGAATATGAATGAAGGGTTATCCAAATAAGAAAGGCAGCTGTTGGGAATCACAGCAGGAAATGTGAGCTTTTCCAGCCTGAGAGTATCTCCCTAATCCTTGATGAAAATGTTATGAAAACAAAAGGGCAATAAGACAGGATTAATAACTGGAATTTTAATAACATTGGGGGTCAGGGTATGGTTACATCCTTTAAAGAATAAGCTGTCAGTTTTGCAATTGAACTTGCTAAGTATTCTAGTGTCCTGTTTACTGTGTCTGAAATTAGTTTAATGGGTGTGTTGATAGGGAAGAATTAATTATGTCATGGTTTAAGAATATTTAGTTACTTTAAGACTCTTATTAGCTCACAAACTCATTTGACATTTTAAATTGTGTATGTTCACAGTTCACTGCACAGTTGTGGAAGGTAAATATGTCATGGCTGAACTTTTGTTAACAAATAGAATATACTTTTTTCAATCTGGTAATTGATTTAGGGAACATTAGCAATGTTTTTAAGGAGAAACAAGGTAAAACAGCAGATTCTAATCTTAGTAGCAACATAATTCCAAAGATATGAGATTAGTGTAAAAGATATGCCAATGTGTGGTTTTCAGATAACATTGGCACCAACAATTTGCATTTCTTTGGAAAGGCTCTTATCAATAATTTCTATTAAAAATGTATTTCATGAGCAGAATGATTGACGAGATCAGCTTTTATTATTATTCTTATTGAAAATATATAATTTAGAGTTTGCTGTTGCATAATTGGGTCATAGTTCTTATCAAATGGGTTTTTAGTTTTCATTTCTAGGTCTGTCTTTTCCAATTGGGGTATATGTGGAAATTACAAGCATAATATAGTAAGCATAGTAGAATCTGAATACTACTACATAAAGAGGATATGCAAGCATATATAAATTTAAGAAATATGGGGGCAAAATTGGAGGGGGAGATGAACCATGAGAGACTATGGACTCTGAGAAACAAACTGAAGGTTCTAGAGGGGAGGGGGGTGGGGGGATGGGTTAGCCTGGTGATGGGTATTAAAGAGGGCACGTATTAAATGGAACACTGGGTGTTATATGCAAACAATGAATCCTGGAACACTACATCAAAAACTAATGATGTAATGTATGGTGATTAACATAACATAATAAAATTTAAAAAAATGCAAAAAAATTCAAGAAATAGGTATAAGCAGTATGCAATTATGTATATAATATAGGCTATAGTTATAAATACATACATGCATACTCATATACATATATACATGGTATGCAAGCATAGTAGTATGTGAAGGGGCCCTGAAGATTTCAAAAATGTATTCAAAGTTTTACAGAAAAAAATATGGTGTATTAAAAAATGAAAAGATTTAATATAGAATACAGAGAAAAGAACATTTATTAGGACATAACATAGAGTTTTACCAAATAAAGTTGTTCTTGCTCTGGGCTGAATTCCCAGTGCCCGTGGGATACAGTTTCTCTTTTCTCAGTACTGAGACCAGGACAAAGGGGAGGCAAGCTGGATGCCCAGGATACAAAATATAAGGAGGGAGTCATTCTCAGGTGTGCACCCTGAACTTGCATGACCGTGAGAGTGAGTGCTTCCTTAAATTTGGAGTCATGGGCACCTACCTTGTCTCACCTGTACTTGGTGAAAAAGATTGGGAAGGATTGTGCCGTTCCCCTGTGTGGTTTTTAAGGACCCTATTTCTGTTATCATAATTTGTATTATGTTGATTATTTGAGATAGACAATCTTTGTGGGGTGATAATAACTTACTTTGTATGGTGGTTTGCAGTTATAAAGGGCTTTCACATTATGTCCTTGAGTTCTCTTACTGGCCTTGTCAGACGGGGGAGGCTGCTATTCTGTTTATAGAGCATATTAATACACGTGCGCCCGACACATTTCAGGTCACTTAACCTGAGGGCGAAGCATTTCCCTTGATGTCTTTCTTTCTACAATTTTTGCTTTAGCTCTTCTCTCAGAGCCAGCTATCATTTCATGTACAGTAAACTGCAGCTACATTTTTGATGGATATCCAAACCAGATCACTCTCCTTTACCAGTATGGATGGTAATTGTCTACGGCCATAAAGAGTAGAGAAGTTTGCTTCCATTAGAAGCATAAGGAAGGCTATCATAAACTCAGCTGACGTGGTGGAAGCAGCCCCTCACCTTCTAGTATGTTTAGCTTGCTGTGGAGGCATTTTCTCCTACCTGGCCAGATAGGGAAGGTGGCTAGGTGCTGATACAGGAGAGCGATATATTTACTCAGTGTGCCCAGAACACAGAACGACCATTCTTACTGTATGAACTGTGCTCAGAACACTTAGTAGTACTTTTTAAAGTGTTCACAGATTTTTACAAATAGGAGTGATTCTATGTCATCCCTTGCCATGTCCACTTGGAAAACTCTTCCAGCTATATCCTGTTACCAATGATTTGCCATGGGCTTCATCATCTCTGCTTGAACTACTGTGTTGGTGTCACCGAAATGAAATGTTATCCGGGCTTAGTCGTGCTATTCCTGCCTCCCCCTGACACCGACATTCCCCCATCTCTGCATCCACAGCATCAGCTTGGTGCTTCTGGTGTAGTATTTTTTCTTAGGAGCTTGCAGAGAACAGAGATCTTTTTGTTTTTATTTTTTTAACTTTGGTCCCCAGCACAACACATTAATCAGAATAGGTTCTAATAAAGATGTGTTGAGTTGGTTTCTTCTCAGTTGAATACATATTGCTGAGAAACTATATTCTCATGAAACTACATGCCACAATGGTGTTTTTTCTTCTTTTCTGAAACACAGGATAAAGGATATATAAGAAGACCAGACATGTTCTTTTTTCAAACTTCTATTTGATTGCAATTCATATAGTCACTTGTTTGCTGCCAGTATTTATATTCATATATGAAAGTTTTCCTCAAATATGCAATCCTCCCAATGTCTAAAAGACATCAGCCTTATTTTTTTTTAAAAAGATTTTATTTTATTTATTTTAGATAGAGCCCATGTGAGTGGGGGGTAGGGGTGGGGGGGGCAGAGTAAGAAGGAGAAGCAGACTCCCTGCTGAGCACAGAGCCCGATGCAGGGCTTGATCTCATGACCGTGAGATCATGACCTGAGCCGAAACCAAGAGTCGGATGCCTAACTGCCTGAACCACCCCACCACCCCCATCAGCTTTATTTTTTATAATCACTTAGAAATAATGATGTATAGGAGAACAGTGAGGAAACAGAAGGGAATAGAGGAGGAGAGAACTCACACGGAGAAAGAATTACTCTAAATGTAGATTAATTTTGTATTTTCCCATCACTTCTTATTCAGCCACAGATTTTTTTTAATGGACTATATTTGTGTTAGTTTCAGCATTTCTGAGGAATACACATATGCATACCTTCATACACACAGGCATATATGATCTTTCCTAAAGTTGGATGTCCTCTATTTATAGTAAATATTTTTATGTTTATCTTTCTTTTCACAACAGCTCTTTGAGTCCAGATGTTGATCCAGTTCTTGCTTTTCAACGAGAAGGATTTGGACGCCAGAGTATGTCAGAAAAACGCACAAAGCAATTTTCAGATGCCAGTCAATTGGATTTCGTTAAAACGCGAAAATCAAAAAGCATGGATTTAGGTAGTGAGTACAATCTCCATGAATCTTTATCTAAATAAGGTTTAGATGCTTTCAGATTAAAATTGATAGTCCCAAACACATGTCTGTTTACTTTAAGCAATAGAGAAAATAAATGTGAAATGTGACAATTTGGCAAAAATTAGTTTTTCTTTGAGTTTGAGATAACCATATTTCTCATAAGTGGCATGTTTACATAATGTGCAGTATGTTAATATATATGTTTCCTGATGATAAAAGAAACAAACACATGCATATCATGCTATATTCCTGCATCTTTATTTGAAAAGATGAAATGTTTTAAATTTTGGCTGTTTAAAACCAATTTTTTGATATAGTATTTGGTTGGCTGTGGGATTCTTGAACTAGAAGGAGAAGTTTTGGAGAGAAACCATTATCTCAATCCATGTGTAGAATTTGGCTACTTCATGATATCTTTGTTTCTCTGCTATTCTTTAAGGTTTACTTAATAGAAACTCTTATGTGTTGATAATTAAGGCATGTAATTGAAGTAATAATTTGAGAGAATATTTGTTGTAGAAAGTATTTGGAAGCAAATGGGAGGAGAAAAATAATCATAGTTTTTCAAACACCAATCAGGTAGTGTCTCTTTTTAAATCAAAATCCACCAAAAAGCAAGCAAACAAAAAAGTAAAATAATTAATTATATCTATAAACTGATCAGATGATTTACAAAACCTTTGTTAATCAACTGTAACTTATTTATGCTGTTCTCTGGTGGCTGTTTGTACTTTAAGACTAAAAGTATTAATTTATCACATGCATAAAAGAAAAATTTGGCGATGCATTGCCTTGGCTAATTATGATATGCTAACTTAAAAATAACACACGTGTCTGTGAAATGAAATGACTGGCATTTTGCATGGAGACACTGCTTTTCCCCCCTTTTTTGATTATGAATGTTTGCTTGATGTTTCATATTATTTGCATGAAATATTACCTAAGAATGATCACCTAACTGAAAAGATCCGGGAATGGTTGAAGCATGTTGGGCTGTGGGAACTAACTGCGCTAACCAGTATACATTTACCTTTTAACAGTAGCTGACGAGACTAAACTCAATACAGTGGATGACCAGAAAGCAGGTAAGAATGGACAGTTAGACTGTTGCCATAGAAACCATGGTCCAAGGAGCTGATTATAGAGCTGCCAATCATATTGCATGTAAACATAAATATTCCAGTCTTGCATGGATGTTTTCATTGTAGGAAATCAAATTGTGCAAGAAAAGAAAAATTTTCTGTTAGAGGGAATTTATCAGTATAGTACATATTAAGTGCAGATATAACTTAGTGTTTCAAAAATGCTAAAACAATCTAGATTTTAATAGTATTTGTGTAGGAATGTTTTGTCGCAATTAAAAATCAAAGTCTTGAAAACAAGATCACTTCTAGTAGACTCTTAAGTGTCTAAGTCATTTATTAGATGCCTGGCTTGATGTCCAAACAATGATCCTCAAAGGGGTGATTTTGATTTGAAGGATAATAGCATAAATATAAATAGTTTTCGCTGAAGGACAGTGTTCACTGTTGCTCTCTTTAGTTGCTCAGAAAACTGTAGTTCTTCAGATGCAAGAATTAGCTCCTGGTTGTCTAACATTGACTTAGAGTGTATAATGTACACAGCCTCCTTGTCTTGACTTTGTGAACCTGTTTTAAAGTTTTATTTTTTTTAACTCAGTAACTTTAACTTACTTCTAAAATGCTGCCTAGATCATTATGTAGCATCAATAGATTATATTGAACTGGGTTTTCATTATGATAGAATTTACTTTTTATGTTATTTTATGAAAATAATCACAGGAAAGTCTTCATGTGTAATTAAAGTAATGTGCTTTGTACAATGGCACATTTATGATTTCTTATTATGAGTTTGGAATAGTGTTTTAATTATTCTAGATCCAGTATGATATAGTCACATCACTTAGCACTAATTAGCTTCAATTCACCTTTTTAACCTGCAGTAATCATTAGTTTTAGCCTGTGTATGTGTATCCATATACATACGTAAAGATTATTGTGGACATGGTTGGAGTTTTAACATTCTGTAGAGTAAAAGATAGATTGTAAAATTTACATCCAATAAATCGTAAGATTAACTGTAGTGGAAGGCAATTAACTATAGCTTCAGCCATTATTATGTTGTTATTTCTCTGATCAAACATGAAATTCACTGAAATTCTGAAACAGGGCTAAAGAAAAACTACTTGATAGTTCATATATGTAAATTAGTAATTAATTTTGGAGTTAATAGTATTCAATACTTTTAAAGAAGTAAGCCCTGTCCAAGTTAATGTTCATGAAAACCAACTCAAACGGCTCAGGTTAAAGAACATGATTTCATATACTATGCCAGTCAGGTAAAGTCAGGAAAATATTTAATTTGACCAACTCACTTTTACTAAAAGGAAAAGAGCTAATCTTAGTGCAATTAAAAAAATAATGATGATATTCAGAGTTTAATTGAACACATAAAATAACTTTGATGGAGAGAGGGCAGATTTTATAATCTAATTCAATCTTGTGTTTTTATTGTGTTTTAAAAAGTTGGATCCTAGATAAAAAAAAGAACTTTTTCCTTTTTTCTTTTATTTCCCCCACTATGTGCCATCGATCCTACCAAAGTAAACTAGAAAACCTTGGGACGCAAAATTATTACATAGACACCACAATACCTTCTTTTTTTTGGTCTATTGGTTTTAAAACTACATGAATAAAATGTCTAAACTAGATCCTTTCCACCCTGAAATATTGGACAGTGAACAGATTTTCAGTTATTTTTCTTTCTTCAGTTCACTTGAATTGCTAAGATGGTCATGAGTTTACAGTTCAGTCCAAAGGTTTTTGGTAGAGCCACAGCGGCATTTCAGCACAGATCATCTGTCTAGCCATAAGCCTTTCGTAATGAAAATTGAATTCCATTTCCCTTCGCCCTTGCAAAAGACATCCTCTACTTTTTTTCGGCAAGAGAGGTATTAGTAGGTAGTAGAAAAATAGGCCTAGGGAAAATAGTATGATTACAATTTTCCCCTTTATTTCTGGATTTAAGGATCCTCTTTGATATTTGGGGGTAAATTTTCTTTGTGAATGAAAAGAGAATAAGAAGAGAATTGGGTTTCTAACAGTTTGATCTTTGAATATAAAAAATAAGCAAAGTATCCTAATGACCTGATTTATAAAGAGCTTTAGAATATTATTTTAAAGTTAAAAGATGCTGATTTGTGTGTGTGTGTAAATAAGACTAATTTTTGCCCATACTTTGTTTAGAGAAAGGCATTTTAAATTTTCACCCCCTAGTAAATGCTAAGTTTATCATGTCAGGGTTCTCAGTAAACCCTCATTCAGGAATCTTAACATTTTTACTTAACAAAATCTTTGTTAAAGTTCCTTTGAAAAATATCATATTTAAATGTATCATATCCATGTTACAAATTAGAAGTCTCTTTCTGTAAAGGACCAGATGGTAAATAATGTAGGCCTTGTAGACCAAACAGTCCCTGTAACAATTAGTTCATTCTGATGTAGCATGAAAACAGCCATAGAATATATATGAACAAATGGACATTCCAGGTTAGGCCCATGGTTGGCTGATCCCTCTTATAGATTCACAAATTACAAATTTTGACTTTTTGTATGACTTTTTACTTTGAGGATTTTCAACCATACATAAGTATAGAGGCAATAATTCACTGATTTCCTATATACACAATACACACCATGGCCAAAATGTTACACTACAGTGTTATAATTTCAGAGAGAAGAGTAAATAGGTAAGTCTTAAGTTACGCTTACAAAATATCTATTGCTTATTAATATTTTCATCATTGTTTTTTCACCAGATTTGCCTTTGTTTATGTATTTTAGTACATACATATATATTTATGTGTATATAAATACTTATATGCATGTATATATAGACATACACTTATTTTGATATTCATGCTATTTCTGGATTTCATTATTAAAATGTTTAGTGCTGTGAGTATATTAAATCAAATCTCAGCTAACTTTTCATAAAGAAAATCTTAATATACCTAAGTGATGTTTTTATGAAAATCTTTACTGGAAGAATGAAATCTTTATTGGAGAAATATAGATAGATATGAATATACACACATATATACATATGCATGTCCTTTATGCTCCCAAAAAAGTGCCAAATATTTGCCTGATAAGTGTTTATAGAACCCAAATGCAGCTGGTAGGTTATGAAAATTGATATGCATGAGTTATTCAGAAAAAGATTTTCCCTTGCTAATTCTAGGAAATATAAAGTAAATGTCCCTGCCTACGAGTGATCTTTTCCTGTTCTCTTTGATTCCTTGATTTCTTAATTTTTGTTTAGTTCTGGAACAAAATTAATTTTCCTTCCTGTGACATGACTTTTATGAGTATTTAGAACATGAACTTGTCAAAAATGATAGTGCTATCAAGAGAAAAAGTAAGATTGATCATCCTAAAAAGAAACATTTCTTGGGAATTTTTGTCATAAAATAATCAAATATATACAATCCTGCACTGAGAAAGTTCAATAAATCATCTTCTAAGCACGATAATTGATGGATTATTATTTCTTTATTAGAATCATCTGTCTGCCTTTCTGCCTATGTTACGTTTTTGACATATTTATTCTAACTTAAAAACTGCTACCCCATTGTGAAAATTAGGTGAAAGATGTAATGTAAATGGATCTTAAAAAGATAATTCTTGTTTTGACTCTCAGTGTAACTTTTATTCTATTTTCTGCCCTGAGCCATGCAAAGCCCATGTCATAATTATTGCCTTTTAGGTAATAACATATCAAGGCTATGCCTTAATTATTGATTAACAAGTAGGCCGATGACCTCATGTACAGATAAACGACCTGCTCTCTTCTACCTTCCCATTTTTTTGTACCTGTCTTTTTCACAGTGGAAGTGACAAGCTAGTTCTAAAACCTGGGTTGCCCAGTGGTGGTACAGAGCTGGTCTTTGAGTCATCAAGAGACAAACTTCATCTACCTCTGAGTGCCAGGTCAGGCAGTGATGGATGAGGCTGTCTGCCTTGCTTAAAGAAATCCGTTTTGATCGCCTTCAAAAGCTTGGTACTACTGGTATTCTCTCAGGCCCCCTGCCCTATATCCTCCAGAAACAGCTAAATTGTTCATTCCCCCAACTCTCCCCTGCCATCCTACTGAAATTTTCTTTGTTAATTGTTAAGTTTTCTTCCTCCTGCTCATCACTTGTTCCTCAAGCAGCTATTACTCCCCAGCCTGGAGATAATACGTCCTCATGTTCAGCTCTTGAGTCTCTCCTCCTTTACTGCTCCCTGGTGAGAGCCCTTATGTAATTTGTTTCTATTCAAATCTTGCATTGCTCTTTTCGGAGAACATTAATGTTTCCCAGAATCCGGTTTCTGCCTGGTGCCAGGGTTCCCTAATTGTCTTGGTGACGAGTAGTCTTTTGTGCTCGTTTCACCTACTGAGCTGTGTGATGAGGAAGAGAATTCATGGAATTCATTGAGATGAAAGTTTAATTTCTGCTGTAAATAATTTGAAACTGTCAATAAATTATTTCAGTTAAGTTACAAAGCTTACTCTTGATTGCTTATCTTAGCCTTCACATCATCCCTACTTTTCAAATGAGCTTCTGGTTTATTCTGGTTCTTTTAGATTATTTACATACTTGGAGCAGATGATTTGACCAAAATTTTATCTCTTGAGCTAAAAGTGGAGACTAATAACTTACAGTTTTTCCTAATGAAAATAGAGAAAACAGACTAAATTTAATATATATTTGAGAAAAATTAAAATTAGTTACTATTACTTTATTTTTTAACATTTCCATCCACACTTTAAAACTCAGTGAGCAAATAATTTATGTCCCTGATGTTTTCCACAGTCCATAGGTATTCAGGTATATCATTTTCACCACTAATTCTAACTAACATTTCATTTTTGTTAATGTTCAAGGTTCCCCCAGCAGAGATGTAGGACCTTCCCTGGGTCTGAAGAAGTCAAGCTCATTAGAGAGTCTGCAGACGGCAGTTGCTGAGGTGACTTTGAATGGGGATATTCCTTTCCATCGCCCACGGCCGCGGATAATCAGAGGAAGGGGATGCAATGAGAGCTTCAGAGCTGCCATCGACAAGTCTTATGATAAACCTGCGGTAGATGATGATGATGAAGGCATGGAGACGTGTAAGTTTATAATGTCTGAAAGAACAGAAATTACGAACAGCTCTGTGGAGCAGCAGGTCTTCAAATATGTTCTAGGGAACTCCAAGGGTTCCCATTATCCTTCAGAGGGATCATTGAGGTCTAAACTTTTCATAATAATAAGAAGTTATTTATCTTTGTACCCTTTCTCTCACAAGTACAAAGTTGGGTTTTCTAGAGACAACAGGTCATTTGATATTGTAATAGATTGAATGCAGAACAGATAGAAGAATCTGCCTTTTCAGCCAGATAATGAAGAGATTTGCTAAAATGTAAAACAGTGCCATTGTTTGCACTTATTGTTTTTGGAAAATACAATTATTGTTTTATAAAAAAACAATTTCTGTTAACATAAATTTTGTTTTTTATAAAGTAATTAATATTTTTAGATCTTCTCAGTTTCAATTCAGTAAGAGATAATCCACATAAAAATTATTTTGAGTCCTTAATAATTTTTAGGAATTTAAAGTTATCCCGAGATCAAAATGTTTGAAAACCACGGCTACAATGTGGTATCTCCAGTGAACATATGTAATGATCTATGCTTTTGAAAACATATTTTTGTTTCATTTTTATGAATTACTCTTGCTTTCCTTGATCTGAGCTAGCATATTTATATATGTGTACATTTCAAAATCGCAAAATACTTTTTTTTTTTTAAGATTTTCTTTATTTATTTGACACAGAGAGAGTGACAGAGAGAGTGCATAAGCAGGGGGAGTGGCAGGCAGGCAGAGGGAGAAGCAGGCTCTCTGCTGAGCAAGGAGCCCGATGCGGGACTCGATCCTAGGACTTGGGATCATGACCTGAGCCAAAGGCAGCTGCTTAACCGACTGAGCCACCCAGGCACCCTCAAAATCGCAAAATACTTTAAAGCAAAGATTATTGAAAGTCAAAGGTTAATATGAGTGAGCAGTATGTTTTCCATAGAATATTGAGAAAAAGGTAATATTTATAAATATGTTCAGATGTTACAGGGAGTTATCTTTATAGTTAAACACTCATGGCATAAAAATAGCCATTCCATTGGTTTTAAAAATCAGAAAAAAAAACAGGGGCGCCTGGGTGGCTCAGTCGTTAAGCGTCTGCCTTCGGCTCAGGTCATGATCCCAGGGTCCTGGGATCGAGCCCCACATCGGGCTCCCTGCTCAGCGGGAGGCCTGCTTCTCCCTCTCCCACTCCCTCTGCTTGTGTTCCCTCTCTTGCTGTGTCTCTCTCTGTCAAATAAATAAATAAAATCTTTAAAAAAAAAAAAAAGAAAAAAAAAAAAAAACAACATGTGCTATGGTGAGCGCTGTGAATTGTGTTAAGACTCTTGAAACACAGACCTGAACCTCTGAAACAAATAATATGTTATATGTTAAAAAAAAAAGAAGATAGCAGGAGGGGAAAAATGAAGGGGGGGAAATCGGAGGGGGAGACGAACCGTGAGAGACTGTGGACTCTGAGAAACAAACTGAGGGTTCCAGAGGGGAGGGGGGGAGGGGGATGGGTCAGCCTGGTGGTGGGTATTGAGGAGGGCCCATTCTGCATGGAGCACTGGGTGTTGTGCACAAACAATGAATCATGGAACACTACATCTAAAACTAATGATGGGTAATGTAGGGTGATTAACATAACATAATAAAATAAAAAAAAATTAATGAAATCCCACCACTGAAAGAGAACCACAGTTAGCATTTTGGTGTACTTTCTTGTCATCTTTCTTGCTTGTGTTTAATTTAATGAGATTGTATTTATATCTAATAAATGATGTACTTAAAAAAATTTTTTTTTAAAGAGAAAGAACTAAAGAGTCCTAATTGTAAAAGCTGTTGATTAGCTTCTGTTGTTCATAATTACTACTTTATATTTTAGTTTTTAAGTTCAAATGTGACTCTATGCATCTAACTGTTGTTAGAAAAGTTAGAGACACTACTGCTCAAAGTTCAGGCAGAGACCAGAGATAATTGAAGTGGATTGTAATTTACTTGCAATTTAACTTTTGGGTGAACTGCTACTAGCACAAATACCTAAGGAAGTGGTGGGGAAGAAAAGTTTTAGATAAAAATCACATTCGGAGGAGACTGAAAGTGATTATATAGTTTTTGCCTGTTGCACATGTAGTGTTTTTGGGAAGACGAATATCGCTGCCATAATGTAGCATGCAAAGCAAAACTTGGGGAGAGCACTGCTCTACCCCACCCCTGCCTTCCCAGCCCTTTACCTCATTCTCCATCTAAAGCTGGTTGGAGCTTTTTCACTCTAACCAGCCAGTGATTTCAAATGTATGCAACCTATTCTTGCCAGATGAAGAACATATTTCCTATTTTTGCTGCCAAGTCTGGGCTCCAAGATCCTGAGTCATATGCACTTTCAATGCTCTTGAGCTTTCCCCCACTGTATCAGTGGTTCCTTTCCAGTCTAACCAGTATCTCTTGTGCAGCCCTACTATGGTAGCATCTTGCTTCTGCCTGTCCTGGGTGTATATTTAATAAGACATGGTACTTTGGCCCCTATTAGTTCTTTTTTAAGCTTCTATAATTTATGATGCCTTGTTCTCGTTAAAATGTTATTTAAATTCACTCATAAAATGTAATTTTCTCACATATAACACTCATTTCAAATGCATCAGGGGATGGAATACATATAAATACAAGGCATGTTTTTAATTCTGATAGGGACAGCCTTCAGAGTTTCTTAGCGGTGTGGATAGACAACTAAATTTGTTCCTATATCAACTTAGTTTCCTTTTATAATTTGAAATAACTGGTTTAAGTACATTATGTTAAAACTTTTTCATTCAGCTGCCATTGAGACAAAAAATAAGCAATTAGACAAATTACATTTTGTAAACCAAAGGGGAAGTTCTGGACAAGAGATGGGAAAGGCTTATGACATGTGCATCTACAACCACAGAGTGCTATGTTTTCCAAAAGTCCTGATTTTATAATTTTTTCCCCCAGACCAGTCTCTTGAACTCAGGATACAAAAGGAAAAAAAAAAAAGGAAAACAGCTATTGTACATTTCACACTTTGGCAATCCGAGTTGTTGAGATTGCATTAGTGGAGTAGAGTGGGCACTGAAATGGGATCAGGCGACTCACATCCTAGTCCACATTCTTCTGATGAATTTGGGATTCTGACCAAGCTACCTAAAACCCCCGAGCTTTAAGTTCCTCATTGTGCAACTGAAGATTTGGACAACCGGGTCACTGATTCTCAACGTTGTGTATTGTGACCTCTGGTCAGGGGGGGAGCCTCAGTGGTTTTGGGGGAGTCCAGAAGTCAGGGGGAGGCTGAGCAGCTGGGCCTCTGCAAAGCCACCAGCTCCACCCCTCACCCTGCTGTCACCCCTCTATTGCCTTGGCACTTGGGGGTTTTTTTTTTTGAAAGTTACTTTTAATACATTGTGGTTGTCTGTAAATTTTAATGTTAATAGTAGTTTGCAGTTTTTTAGAAAATTCTTAAAAATCTCTTGTTTAGATGATTTAGATGGTTTCTGAGGTCCTTTCTAGTTTTGACATTCCATGATTCTGTGTACCTGTTCACTTATCTGCCTAAATCCTGCCTTCTAAGCTCTCTCACCTCCGTGGGGCCCACGAAAGAAGACACCACCATGTCTGGTTTAATTGTGCATAACTGAGCACGGGGCCTGGCAAATCATAGGATTCAGTGCATATTCATTACATCAATAAGTGAGCTCCTGCTTAACTAGCGCCATTGTGTCTCTGAGAGAGAGAGCCTTTCCCTCTGCAGGAAGAGGGGGATGGTGGTGTCACTTTGCCATCCCTGATTGTATTGCATGCTGAACCTGCATGCACTAGACCTCTGGTGCCTAAGCGAAGTCTAAAAAAAAAAAAAGTCCCTCCGGCCTGGTGTTACTGCTACTGATCATTAGACTGTCACCTTTACATAAGACTAGATACAAAAAGGTGTTCTGTGGCTCCCGTTATGAGAAAGGCCAGTTCAGTCTGCTCTTCCTTTGGTTTCCTAAACAGCATCCTTGTCAGAGTCTGGCTTCTGGATTCTCATGGGCAGGTCCACATGCTTTTTGTCACCATGGCTTGCCAGCATCCACATGCTTGTTTCTGGTTGTACTCCGCATCCCCGCCTTCCAGGGCGCTGTCCCCTGTGGCCAGCGAGTCTCTGTCCTGCCACTGTCTATGCTGTGTGGGCCCCTGGCAGACGGTGCTTTCCTAAGCTGTGGTCTGACGCCCTTACAGCTGCCAGTGGCAGTGAAAATGCCCTTTCACTATTGAACGTGGCTCCTAGCAGACAGTCCTTTTGTTCCCCCGCCAGCGCGCCCCAGACGTGTGGGGATGGAGGGTGGGCTGTCGTTGGAAGGCTGTGAGGCTGTGAGCTGAGGCCGGGGATCAGGACAGACGGCCCCCAGTACTGTTCCGGTCTCCTGTTTTCTCCTCCCACCTTAGCCCTTCAAGTAAGATGCTGAGGCATAGGCATGCTTGATTGCTCTTGTCAGTTGGGTCGAGCATCTCCCTGGTGACTATATTTCGTGGCTCCGAGCAGGCTTGCCTCTTCTCAGCAGTGTCGAAATCATGGCATAGACACAACAATGGGGGCCAAGAGACTGGGGTGGGCTCCATGTGGTATCTGGTATCTGTCATCTTCTGTAACACTTACGTTCTTCCTGTGGAGATGGCAGAAGCCAGCGTTTTTGTCTCTCATTTAATCCATCTGGCCTCTCCATGTTGTGTGTGTCTGTCTGGATCAAGATGGAGCTTTGTATTCTGGGACCCATTATCTCTGAGGCCCTACCTGTGCTTGACAGGTCAGGGCATCCACAATCTGCTCCCTCTTCTATGCAAATTACATACCCTGCCTGGCTCTCAGCACGTGGCTTCGACATCTCCCAGAATAAATCAGTTTCTGTTGCTACATGCAACAACACTACTTTGTTTTCTTCTTGAAAAATATATGGTCCCATTTTTTTTCTGTTAAAAGTTGCCAAATTGTAAGTCTTCCTATCAATATGGAAACTG